TTGAACCTCTATAGTGCTATCAAACATTGCAAACGAGGACATTACATTGTGTGGCTATTTATAGCCACCCAAGCCCATCATTTGCCTCTTGGAGTTTGGGATTTCTCTTTCAACTGTAAGCAGAGCTTCCTCTCTAGTTTTGTTTATGTGTCTGTCTGTCAGCCCAGCGCCAGTGCCTGTCTCTGCTTTGCTGCCGCTGCTCCCTCATCCTGTTTGGTCAGTGAAGATTGCCGTTGATGCAGCATTCCTGACCAGATTCTCCCACAACACTGCAGGATGTTTTAGTGACATTAACATGAGCAGCCTTTTCAGAGCCTAGCATCCATCCCTCGTGCTGCTGGTTCCACTATTTCCTATACAAAAGTCTACTTTGGTTTCCTGGTAGGCCCAAATTTGCTGTCCCCTTTGTAAAAACACAGCTGCTACTTGCTCCCCATTCCACTCAGTTCAAAAGGCACCAGCACACAACTGAGTATTTTAGAAACTCCCTTATCAGCTATATCCAAAATGAACAATACCCTTGCCAGTCACAGAACTGTAAGAAAGGGTATACTTAGACTGAGTGGTGGTATACTTAGACTGAGTGAAGGCATATCTTGGCCCATATTGTTCTATTCACACAATACATTAGCGTTTCCCAGTGACTGGCCTTTGATTTGTTCTCCCCTGGGGTAGAGTGAATTTTATCATCAAGCATGATAGGCTGGATCCTGCAAGCGCTGAGCTCCCCCAGCTCACAGGGATAGCTCAGTGGTTGGAGCATTGGCCTGCTAAGCCCAGGGTTGTGAGTTCAATCCTTGAGGGGGCCATCTAGGGAACTGGGGCAAAAATTGGGGATTGGCCTGCTTTGAGCAGGGGGTTGGACTAGATGACCTCCTGAGGTCCCTTCCACTCCTGATATTTTATGATTCTATGATTTACGACCATAAAACCGGCGGCAACTCAGCACCTCACAGGATCAAACTCTGTATCCCCATGTCCATCTTGCTCACCTTAGTGTCCAGAAAAGGGCCCAATTCCCATTTGCAGTAAGGCCATTTTACACCACTCTGGCAGTCAAAGAGACCTTAAAGTGGGTGCAAAAGAGTGGAGGCGTGTATCTGGAAAGCTGACCCCACAGAAATCAATGGGAGGTTTGCCACTGATTTCATGCAGGCCAGGTTTTCACTTTGACTCTTTCACACCCATCTGAAGGCCCCTTCACCCTGGCAGTACTGTCTAAGCTGCCTTAGACTAAATGAGAATCAGACCCATTTTTTGGGGGGGGAGGGGTGGTGAAACAAAGTAAGGAAGTGGTGAAACAAAGTAAGAAATTATAATGATTTATTCTCTGTCTCCTTGTATTGCTCCTGTGTCTGCCAGAGAGCTATAGATTCCTAGTTCTCAATTTGGTAGTGGGAAGGGGAAGGAAAAATGGGTCCTGGGTACAAATAAATAAAATAAAATAATAATAATTATTATAATAATAAATGGAGTGTATTCTTTACACACCTGATCTACCCCAGCAGCACCCAATGGGAAAAAACAGGTCAACAACATCAATGGGGGTGAACACACACAGTATGGGTGACCGTGAAGGCACATCAGCTGTTGGACACAGAACCGATTGTTGAAATGGAGCCAGCAAGACACATCAGTTTAACGCCCATCAGCATTACAAGGGTTTGGTTTGGTTTGGTTTTGGGTCTTTTGTTCCAAGACAGCCAAGCTGGAGATTAACTGACTTGAAACCTCCAATGAACAATAAAGCTTTGTGTTTTTTGAAACCTGTGGAAATTGGAGTACAGATCTTGAAGAATTTATCCCTTTCAGTAACAAACCCAAGATAACATAGAGTTGTTAGAGAACCCAGAAATTGCTGCTCTTGGATTCTTCAAAGTCTGTAGGGAATACAGAATTCCAGAACCTATGACCACCTCAGTACAACCTAACCATAATCCAGAGTTTATAGTCTCATTAATTTATGTCCAGGATGAGTGCATGAATATCCCCCTTCAAAACCTAACCTATTTAAAAAAAAAAAAAAAAACAACCTGCAAAGCCCACCAGCAATATCATCTATACCTTGCTCAGTATCAGTTCACAGGTTTGTAGCATTTGTGCCTATAATCTCTAAATCAGTAGCTCTCAACCTTTCCAGACTTCTGTACCCCTTTCAGAAGTCAGATTTGTCTTGTGTACCCCCAAGTTTCACCTCACTTAAAAACTACCTGCTTACAAAATCAGATAAAAAAATACAAAAGTGTCCCAGCAAACTATTACTGAAAAATTGTTCACTTTCTCATTTTTATCATATAATTATAAAATAAATCAATTGGAATACAAATATTGTATTTACAGTCCAGTGTATAGTATATAGAGCAAGTCATTGTCTGTGTGAAATTTTAGTTTGTACTGACAGCACTAGTGCTTTTTATGTAGCCTGTTGTAAAACTAGGCAAAAGATGAGTTGATGTATCCCCCGGAAGACCTCTGTGCACACGTATTCTTGGTTGAGAATCACTGCTCTTGCCCCTGAAGAGTTTAGGCTTGTACTCTTTGTTTAGCATACTCATCAGATTGTGAATCGGCACGTAATAAATAAAAAATAAAAAATACTACTACATAGGACTGGCCCATGCTCTATTCCACAGTGTGCAGCAAATCACTGCCCTTCACTGTGTTTGGGAGATTTCATAGTAGCAGCCGTGTTGGCCTGTATCCGCAAGAAGAAAAGGAGGACTTGTGGCACCTTAGAGACTAACAAATTTATTTGAGCATAAGCTTCCGTGAGCTACAGCTCACTTCATCGGATGCACATCCAATCAAGTGAGCTGTAGCTCATGAAAGCTTATGCTCAAATAAATTTGTTAGTCTCTAAGGTGCCACAAGTACTCCTTGTATTTGGGAGAGATTTTCAAAGCCACAAATGGCAGGCACTTCGGCATCCAAGTCCCATTGACTTTCAATGAGAGTCAGACATTTAACTGTCATGTGTTCCTTTTATAATCTCCCTAGTCCATAGATGCATTTAGAATATTAGTTGATTGGGGAAAAAAGTCTCAATTCTACAAGTTCTGGTAATAGCTAAGATCAAACTATTCTATGTATGGTGCATGGTCTCCCTTTTCATTTGTTTTGTTTCTTAAGGTCCTGCCTCATGATTTTTGAATGTCTGGGCTTGGCAACACTGCTGTAATGTGACATGGATCTGGCTTTCAGGAGGTTGTGCCCCTGTTTATTGTTTCTACATTTAAAAAACGTGTAACAACTTTCAAATCAGTCTCACTTCAGCAATGTCTAAGGGATGAGACCCACTTTAATTTAGCGTAACATCTCATTATAACAGAGGTGCAGAGGCTCCTGTTCCTCATTGGCATAATTGCAACAAAGGGTTTCTGTGGTAGATTGCATCTGTTTTGTTCTCCCAAATTGTTCTTCTCATCATTTAGATCCATATTCATTTCACAAACAGCTTCTCTCTCACTCTCCTTTGTTCAGCTGTTAATTACCTTCATTCCCCTCATTCTTTTCATAGCCTGCCAATCCATTCACAAGGACGTGAGGATCCAAAGACATATATGCACTCAATATATTTCAGATGTTAATTTACTTGTGCTTCTAGTTCAACATATTCTTATCTTCACCAAAACAAGGAAAATAAACCAGAAAAGACTGATGTGCCTAAGCAAACACCTTAACTATATATGTACCTAAGCAAGTAATTATCAAGTAATCACTGAATAATTCCAATAGATGCTGAACTTGGCTAATCTCTCTGATGAAAATCATAATTATGTACTTTGGAAAGGAAGGATGGCATTTAATTTATAGTCCATTACTTATCAGCCAGCTTTAGATGGTGATCAATGATATAACCCAATAGTGGGCCAACTTGCATTTCTATTTGAAGTATTTCTCCAAGCCCTTTCTTTGCCAAGTCACACAAATGTTCAGACGTTTCTTTCACGTGGACTGGACACTAGAATGATCTCACCCTTGCATCCAGCCCCCTGGGACACCAGAGGCTGTCAGTCCCAGCCATGTCATTCAGCCTGGGAGCAAAGATGAGGATGTGGGCCTTCATGCTTTCGCACCTTTTAGGATCATTTCTGAAGGACACAGAGGTGGATTGCCAACTCAAATGTTTGTCCAAGTGGTTAAGTGACAACACAGCTTGTGGGTCAAATAATTATTTAGAAAACCCTGGGGTGGCTAGGCTGGATAGTTCACTCTCACTGCGCCAGGCAGGGAGGAGGGGGAGTTGTGGGGAAGCACGGCTTATCCAGCCCAGAGATGTTTCAGAGTAGCAGCCATGTTTGTCTGTATTCGCAAAAAGAAAAGGAGTACTCGTGGCACCTTAGAGACTAACCAATTTATTTGAGCATAAGCTTTCGTGAGCTACAGCTCACTTCATCGAATGCACAGAGACAGAGAGGAGGGGGAACTCCCCCTTGCTTTTACCAGAGGAAGGTGATCTGTGCTGCCCCCACTGCCCCTCACATTTAATCACACACTTTCAAGCCAGTCTGAACTAGATGATGTGGAATCCATGTGGATTCAAGGCAAACTCAGCCAATCTCCCCAGGGAACCAGCATGAGCAGAACAGGAGTGATACTCCAGCCGGCGATGATCCAGCCAGGGATGAAATCACACAGCTAAGAATTGAAGGTGGGCTATTCCTCATTCAAAAACACACAAAAGTGAAGGAATGCACATGCGTGCACTCTCTTTCTCTCCCCCCACCTCTCCAACATTCCTATTTCCAAGTTTATTTTGGAGTCCCATCAGTTGAAAGTGACTTCCTCTTTGAAAAAATGCATCTTTAGAACTCAATTAATACACCAAACACTTCTACAGAATAGGTCCTGAATGTATAAGAAACCATGTTTTATTATCACTGGAAATGAACAGATTTCTATTATGGTGTGGCTAGATGGAGTTTTTACTTCTCTAGATGTAAATCACTTAGCGAGTGGTATTTATTGTTCCAAAAATACAGATTTATGTATTTACTTACTTCTAGCTTTGTTTTATGCACTAGTGTAGTACCACTGGCTGCTTTGTCTTGTCAAACCTGCAGTTTAACCGGATTACTGGCCTGAGTTTTGGCTCTAGGAATCAGTTTCCCAGAAGTGGACAGTGGTGTGAGAGCGCCTTCTATAGAGGGGAAAAAGAAATGTATGACAGTAAAGAAAGGCATTGCAAGCTCAAAGGCATTAAAACTAAACTGTGACTCTCAGCTGCAAGCATTATCATTTTTAATCTGTAATAAAGAAATATACAAGAAAGAGAACAGTTATCTTTATTTAAGAATAATGGGCCAAATTCACCCTAGAGATAACAAGGATATATTTTATATTTATCTGATGATGATAACAAATACTTCATCCCAATGTAGTTAAATGACAAGTAGTTCTAGTGATCTCTATTTATAAAAACACACACATACGTCTCTGTGGTTCTCCAGGCACTTAAACATTAATTAATTTGGCTTTCCAACACTCTTAGGAGATAAGTGATATTTACCTAACCCCATTTTACAGATGGGGAAAACCAAAGAATGTGCAGTTCAGTGATTTCTCCAATACATAGATACATAGATATTAAGGTCAGAAGGGACCATTATGATCATCTAGTCTGACCTCCTGCACAAGGCAGGCCACAGAATCTCACCCACCCACTCCTACAATAAACCTCTCACCTATGTCTGAGCTATTGAAGTCCTCAAATCGTGGTTTAAAGACTTCAAGGAGCAGAGAATCCTCCAGCAAGTGACCCGTGCCCCATGCTACAGAGGAAGGCGAAAAACCTCCAGGGCCTCTTCCAATCTGCCCTGGAGGAAAATTCCTTCCTGACCCCAAATATGGCGATCAGCTGAACCCTGAGCATGTGGGCAAGATTCACCAGCCAGATACCCAGGAAAGAATTCTCTGTAGTAACTCAGATCCCACCCCATCTAACATCCCATCACAGGCCATTGGGCCTATTTACCATGAATATTTAAATATCAATTAATTGGCAAAATCATGTTATCCCATCATACCATCTCCTCCATAAACTTATTGAGTTTAATCTTAAAGCCAGATAGGTCATTTGCCCCCACTGCTTCCCTTGGAAGGCTATTCCAAAACTTCACTCCTCTGATGGTTAGAAACCTTCGTCTAATTTCAAGTCCAAACTTCCCGATGACCAGTTTATATCCATTTGTTCTTGTGTCCACATTGGTACTAAGCTTAAATACTCACAATGTCACATACTCAGACCCTGATCCAGAAAGTAGCATAAGCATCTGCTTAACTGCAAGTACACGAATAACCCATGTCATTAGGACTATTCATGTGCTTAAAATCAAACATATGCATATATGCTTTAAGAACAGGAGTACTTGTGGCACCTTAGAGACTAACAAATTTATTTGGGCATAAGCTTTCGTGGGCCTAAGGTGCCACAAGTACTCCTCTTCTTTTTGTGGATATAGACTAACACGGCTGCTACTCTGAAACCTTATATGCTTTGTATGACTGGGGCCTAAGTCTCTGGCGAAGCACAGTTTTTTCCTGACTCCTACCCAAGTCTTAAACATCAGAGGTGAAACCTTTGCCCCTTTGAAGTCAATTGCAAAATTCCCATTTACATCAATAGATCCAGGATTACACCCCAGGTCTTCTTATCCCTATGCCTGTACCTTAACTACAAGGTTATCCTTCACAACACACTTATGCCCTTCCCCTACCAGAGAAAAAAGGTTCTTTGTAAATATCAAATTGTGCTTCTTAGGTGCCAGATAATGATTTAGAAGTATATAGTGCCACGTGTCTCGTTTTTAAAAAGATTTCTGACATTGTTATTCCTACACGTATATAGATTTCAGTAGAAAAAGTTTTTTTCCAGAATGCTATAAATTATTATGTCCGTGTGAACAGGAAGCAATTAGGTTCAGTGCAAGTTCAGATTCTACTCCACCTTTTTCCTTCACCGTTCTCCATCATAGGTTCCAGTGCCTGGGGTTTAATATACACGAAACTGGATAATTTTACAGCACGTTCTGATCAGCTGTGTAGGGGACATTAAGTAAAGTTTAAAGCTCCAGTGAATTCTCAACAGCAGTTACAAAAGCTGGCATATGAGTTCTCAGAGCATGTTACTGTTCAACTCACATAGCATCTGCCTGCCCTTGCACAGCCAGAAGAGGAGCTGCCTTTCATTGGGAGACCGGTTGCCTCCACTAGGCTTTTAATAACAAGCACAAATGAAACCTGACAAATCATTCCATAAGGACGGGCTACAATTCCATTTTCCAAGCCAGGGAGCCCACAACACAGCTAATACAATTGATGTTTGGAATGAGGTCACTGTGTGGAATGGATATGAGTCTAAAAGGGTGCATGTGGGTGAGAGCATGTGTGACAAACCCAAAGTCAGACGAGTTACTATGGCCACGTCTATGCTACAAAGGGTTTGCTGGTATAGCTATTCTGGCAAACCCTCCTCCAGATGAGTTTATACCGAAAGAGTGCTTTTACCAATATAGCTTAAACCAGCTCCCTGAATGTAATAAAAGTGCTTCTGCTGGTATAACGTAGGTCTGTATACCTGCCTCTGCAGAAGAGCTTTTGCTGGTATAGTAATGTTTGGGTTTTTCTAAAGTGACATTACTTTACCAGCAAAAGTTTATAGTGTAGACCAGGCCTGTGTCAGGGAATGGAAGAGAAAGGAAAGGGACTACGTGCGCCAAATCCTAAAACAACCTGGTTATTTGATGAGTGAGTATTAATATAGTTTTTAAAACCATTTGGGAGAATTGAGGCCAGAAAAGAGGCAGAGAATGGACTTCAAAGATACAAACAGCATCGGACAGACTCAAAGGGGGGAAGCGGATGATCGACTGAGCAATATGAAGCACACATAGAATAATGCTTCATGTTATTTGGTCAAGTCTTTCTCCAACTTGGAGACTGACCTACCAGGGTTATCCCGATCTCCTTGAAAATGAATTAATTTTTTGTGTTTGTTCTCACATGAGGAGCTGCAAGACAGTGGATGCTGCATCACAGGGGTTCTCAAACTGCGGGTCGGGACCTCTCAGGGGGTCAAGAGGTTATTACAGGGTGCATCGTGAGCTGTCAGCCTCCACCCCAAGCCCCACTTTGCATCCAGCATTTATAATGGTGTTAAATATATTAAAAAGTGTTTTTAATTTATAAAAGGGGGGAGGGAGGTCACACTCAGAGACTTGCTTTGTGAAAGGGGTCACCAGTACAAAAGTTTGAGAACTACTGCTATATCATCTCTTACTTAAAGCAGTAAAAACAAACAGAGGTAAGATCATTCAGTTCTGTTCCGGTCTCTACCATTGACCCACCATAAAATCTTGGAGGTTTTTTGTTTTGTTTAAAAACACAAACAAAAACACAAACTTCTCTTGGCTTCAGGTTCCTCATCCGTAAAAAGGAGATAATGATATTTTCCTATCTCAAAGAGTGTGGTGAAAATAAATTAGTTATTATTTGCAAAGAATAATGAAAAGTGCCATGTAAATGCTAAGTTTCATAATTCTCAGCTAAGAGGCACTATATAAATGCAAAGTGTTGACTTTTTTGGTTTTAATTTTTATTTAGGGTAGACAATAGTGTGCAAAAAAAATCTGCAAATATCTATTTGAATTTTCGACCATACTCACATGCCTTGTGTCCTTTTTTTTGTAAACTTTGAAGTAATCAATGCTACTGACAGGAATTCTCACAAAAAGTAAATTTAAAATTCACGGAAACCAAAGCTTATATTGACATATATAAAATTCTTACTAGAAATGGTGGTTCATTCCTCCAATCAGGAAAGAGAAATAATATCAAGTGACTTATCTGACCAATCATAATTAAGCCACACAGATTGATATGCAATACTGAAAACCAATCAATATGGCATAAATATTTTAAAAATTTATTCCCAGGTCACTGACCAATTAACCTGCTATTGGGCAAATCATATTACCTCTCAGATCCTTTGTTTTTCCTCTCAATCTTTGTCTATTTTATCTAGTGGCACTGCAAGTTCCTTGGGGCAGGGACCCCTTTCTACTGTGTGTTTAACAGTGCCTAGCCTGCTGGGGTCCTGATCTCAATTGGGATCCTTAAGCACTACTGTAAAATTAAAATATAATAAATACATTTGAAAAAGTATGATCTGTGAACAGGAAAAGGTGCTAAATTAATCTAGTTAATGATTAGGTGGTTACAAATTATTCTCTGAGCTCTACTTCAGAGTCAGCAAAACTCATGACTTTTGCTTTTACCACAGTAGGGCATTACCTAAGTTGAAATGAGCTTGCAGAAAGGTATAACTGAGTGGCTGCAACTGAGTATACCCTACCCAAATGCAACATTTTGAAGGAGGGTATGAGAGCCAGTGGCTGCATCCTCTTTTTAATAAGAATTTCCATGGGCGGAGGGGGCCTAAATTTTTATATTAATATTATATATCCCTCATGGAAATATTTGTGTGTGTGTGTGTGTGTACATAGATTTCAAATGGGTTGTGGGGCAGTTATGTTAAATTTTGTATGTAACAAACTTTCAAATAAATGATTACATAATTAGCATATAAGAAATCTGCTATATTTTGATCTTATAAAGTTTTAATTGGCATCATTTTCTTCAGATTGTCATTGTAATTAGAGAGAGGGTCAAGATACAAAATCCATAGCTGGGTTGAGATTTTCCAACACTGGCAGAGTCCAGGGTTGAGATCCAGGGTTTTGCTTTGGGCCCATCTTATTTTCATACCTGTCATCCTGACAAATCTTGCTGCAACTTGAGAAGGAGAATGATCCATTGCTTGGAGCACTAGCCTGGGACTTGGGAGACCAGTGTTCAATTTATTAGTCTGCCACGGACTTCTTGTGAGACCTTTAGTGAATCAATTAGTCTCTCTGCGCCTCAGTTCCCCATCTGTAAAATGGGACTAATAGAGGTATTGTGAGGATAAAGATTATGAGGTGCTCAGTGCGACGTATCAGACTAGTGAGTAGCTGTGTCACCCCTGCCCTATAACTTGGGCAGCCCTTTCAATGCTTTGCTCCTGTAGCCTCCAGCTGGACTGCTCACAAACAGCCACCAGCATACAAGTCACTCCTAGCTATGCCTCGGTGTGT